CTGTCTTCTATCTATCAATAGTACAGATCCGTTAGGCAAATGAAAACAAACAGGAATAGAAACCCTTAGGGGCGTCGGTGGCCGCAACAGTTTAGGCGCTCATCGCTGTAAGGTAAAGGTTTCGGGTTCGAACAACTATTTGCTTGTATTTGGTATTTAGCAAAGTACAATAAGCCAGAAGGCTGCCGGGTTTAAGAAAAATCAACCCCCCTTTCATGTTTCCTTTCATCATCATCAACTTGACAAGTTTTTTTAACTTATGATTGTACTTTGAGTTGACCATTTCAAAAGTAAATCAGAATGGCATAAATCGCGTTTTTGCTTTAAAATATTTTTTTGTATGTATCATTTCTGATATTTACTATCAAACCCAAAATATATGTGAATTAAATATAAAAAGTATAATGCAATAAATTAATGGATACATTTATTTTAATAACCCTTGATAAACATCGCGTTTCCATTTCTCCCCTCCTTTTTTCTCTCTATCAAATTATCACATTTTACTTTACCAAAGCAGGTGAGTAATTTTTAACTAGAACAGATTCACGTGATTTACTCCCCCGGAAATTATATTAAACCAAATTAAGAAATCAAGTATCTATCTTGATCTTCTTTCTATCTGGAAAATAGATCCATTATGCAAATGATAACAAACAGTATTAATAACGCTTAAACAGCAAAACAAGTAATTGTGTATTTTCTAAAGTTCACGGCGCCCACATTATACTAAACCATCACGACTGGTAGGTCTTGCAAAACTGTTGCTCTTTTTTCCGTACTCTTTCTATGCATCATTTTCGCTCACCTTCACTTCCGAGGTTTCTTTTGCTCCACTACTCTTTCAGTTCATCTCTACCTTTCTCTCTCTCTCACTCTCTCTATCTCTCTCTCTCTCTCTCTCTCTCTCTCTCTCACACACACACACACCACACACACACACACACACACACACACACACACACACACACACACACACACACACACATACACACACACAACACACACACACACAAACTCTCTCTCCCTCTCTCTTCTCTCTAGCAAATTTTACTTTACCCAAGCCGATGAGTATTTTTTAACTCGAACAGAAAAATCATCAGATGTTCTGTCCCCGTAAACAGTTTATTAGAACCAACTTACTGAAATCATGTATCTATCTCTATCTCCTGTCTATCAATAGTACAGATCCATTAAGCAAACGATAAGAAACAAACATTAATAACGCTTAAACAGCTTAACAAGTAATTGGATATTTTATAAAGTTCACGGCGCCCACATTATACTAAACCATCACGACTGGCAGGTCTTGTAAAACTGTCGCTCTCTTTACCGTACCCTTTCTATGCATCATTTTAGCTCACCTCCAGTTTCTCCCGTTTCTTTTGCTCCACCACTCTTTCAGTTTATCTCTCTCCCCCCTCTCTCTCTCTTCTCTCTCTCCTCTCTATCAAATTTTACTTTACCCAAGCAGGTGAGTACTTTTTTTAACTAGAACATGAAAATCATCAGGTGTTCGGTCCTCCTGAACAGTGTATTAAAACCAAATTAAATAATGTATCTAACTCAATCTCCTATCTAAGCATAAATCCATTATGTAAATGATAACAAACTAACAGTATAGTAACGCTTATACAGTTGTAGATTTAAATAAATGAAGTAAGAAAATTGTATAAATTATTAATATATTCTTACTGAATGACTTCTAACTTGTTAAAAATACAAAGTTTTATTACTAACTATGGACGTGTGTACTTGGTTGGTCTTCTTTGTATATGTTGCTCTAATTGTTACGTCAACATTATGGTATTTTGGAATTTATTCATCACAAAAAGTATGATTCCCTCGGCATATCCTTTAATAATCACATCGCTTTAAGCTACGGAATCATGGTGATCATATCCATATTTGCCGAATCTTTTGTTAAAAGAATCTGGTTTGTTTGCATCACTGTGTACCGGTCTTCTAGGAATAATACTATTCGAATTCCTTATTTTCTTTGGCAAAGGTGATCGTTTTCTTCCTTCTTGGATAATTTAACTTTATCCAACAATCTACCGCCGGTAAAATAATGAAAATAATTTTAGTGTATTGTTTCGTATTTCTTGTTTACAGGCTTCTTGACTAATGGCATCAATAATTTTGCTGTCTTTGATCATCAAAACATTTAACAGCTTAACAACATATGTTTACTAATTAGTTGGATTAGGCACATGTCTTCTCTTCCTTACAATTATTGTACGATTTAAACTATTAAAACTAGGTTGATTTTCTTCAATGTACATATTGAACAAACATACGCACAATTATTATAAAAGAGACATGTTTTTGATATTTGTTGAGTTTTGACATGAGATGCATTCATTTACACATTACCAACGTGAAGTTTAAGCTTTTGAGAACCGATCTTCAAAAAGTAGGGCTGAGTTTCATTTACTTCTCTCTTGCTTTACCTTCACTGCCGCTGTTCAATATTATATAGAGGACCATTCGACTGAAGTTCCCGATAATAAATACTCGCAGGGAGGATCATCAACGGACTCAGTACGCCGACGTTTATAAAGTTAAATTATCGAAATCTCACCATCCGTCCTCATGAGTTGTTTTTTACAATTAAAAAATCGAATGAGGAAAAGCAGAGCAGGGTGATCGAGGCTCACAACAAAGAAAACCACATTCACGAAAAATCAGCCATTGTCAGAGGTGAGGAAAGATCCACCGTTTACACAATTTCACAACATGGCATCCAGCAAATAGGCATCGTTCCGATTACTGTATATCGTCAAAAAGTAGCGTCGATTTACGTTTTAAGTTTGATTCCTGATGTTGAAGTGACTTTAAGGGGTAAGAGTAATAAAGTCATGTCGTTCAACTCCTCTCCCAAAAGCCCCCTGGAATCCATAAGTGTCGAAGAGGGACATTACGAGGTTGTAGTGAAAACCGAAAGTGTCTCTCAACAATTGAGCATGGTCAGTGCCTTTAAAAATTTCAAGAAAATGGTTTTTGGCAGATTTTTGTCAACGGAAGCTGATACTCACCTATTTCACTATTTTATTCATTTTCACATCCATTCCAATATGAGGCCTTTTCCTAATGATACCATGGCGCAAAAAGAGTACTATTAAGCCCAGCCAAATTTGATTAAAAAGTCAATTTAAAACATTAAAAAAAATAAAATAATTACAGATTGCAATTTATTCACATATGTCAATAAATGTATATCAGTTGCTTAGCTAAAAACAGCTGTTAGCTAGAACAATTGTATAAGTTATAATAAAAAATGCAAATTTTTCTTTATCCTATCCAGATCTGCAATAACATCGAGCATTTCATTTCTTTGTATAATTCTGCAGTACAATATTAAAATTACCATTAAATGAAAACACAGTAAATCAAGAATATACACCCATTTAAATGGATATATCCATTTATCGCGAAATAATAGTATTTTCTGGTTCCCTAAATTATGTTAAATTTTTGATACCTACTACTGTAGGTCGATGGAGTAATATCCTGTACTCCACCGACTAATCAGAATGAGCACACTGTATGAATGTATTTATATGCATGAATGTATTTATTTGTGTGACTGATATCTAATTTAATTAGTATTAGGCTAGATTAAAGTTTGCGTGCGTTTAGGGCTGAAATGACCTAGTTGTTGATAGAGAACAAAATTGGTACAAATTAACAGGTACGAAAGAAAACTATGCATTTATATAACAATAGTTGATTCTTTAGGCATCCTTGAGTAGATTCTGTTTAAGGGCTGCCAATAACACAATAATAAAAAAAGGAAGGGTTGAGGGTACTAATGAATGGGTAACATAACATTACTAAATGTGGAGAGAAAAAAATAGTAATAATAATAGTTACAACTTGTAAGAATAAATAAATCAAACATGAAAAAATAAAGATTTTTTTAAAAATAGTAGGTACTAATTTTTGTTTTAAATTTTAGCCACATACTAAAATAGCCAAAAGTTGCATTTTTGAAAATGTTTTGGGATTTGCTTCACATTTGGTCAAATTAGGGGCCAAAAGGAACCTCATATATAAAACAATTCAAAATAATGTTAATTTTGGTTGGGGCAACACAATATTTATAGGACAAATAATATCAAATTTAATTTTTTTAATTGTCGATATAATTCCACCTCTAAGTATAGCTATGACAAAGGTGTGGTATTTGAGGAAGAGTGGCAGGGAGTGTCCAATTGACTATTGTTGTTTTTTGATTTTTTGATGGTTGAATGTGGTGTCAATAACTGGTTCCTTTCCCTGTCGAAATCTGGTACATATAGATCAATAATAGGTTAGTTTCCCTGTTGATAATTAGTTTTTCATGTCAACGATTGGTGAAAAAAACTTGTCATCGATCAATAAAAAACTCTAGCATTTTGCTAAAAATTATAAGGAAAATCTTTAAAATAAACCTGGACAAGTTTGAGGGAAAACTTTGAATAATAATTAATAAGTTAATTAATATAAAAAGTTATTTTTGTGAAATATTAGAAAAATTATATTAAAGTATCAATAATTGATGACAAACACTCTGGATCAAGGTGTGTCTTGAAAAAAATCAAATTCAGTTGCTACTAACAAGCATTTTTCCTATTTTCAGGTCAGTTTTTTACAGGCAATCTCAAATTTCTTTGAAGACCGACTCAGTCCTAATATTGCGAAAGTCACAGTCCTGTAGTGAGTCGGTCTTCAAAGAATTTGAGATTGCCTGTAAAAAACTGTGTACAACAGCGGAGCGAGTATTGACCCTTGCGGCACACCTGCATGCACTTCTTCCGTCTCAGAAGTCGCCGTACACTGGTTTACTGCGAAAAATGTCTCCTTAAGGTATGATTGTATAATCAGATAATAGGCCTGGAGTAAAAATAATTTTAATAAATGTAAAAAAGTTGTTCTATGTGGAATATTGGTGCGATGATGCTCTATCGATACCGCTAGATCGATGTGTCACTAAATTCAACGTCGTCGCTAGTTCGTCCCGTGGCCGACTGAGCGTTGTCAAACACAGCCCGCAGCCGACCCAACAGAAGCAGACTCAGGTTTGACTTGCTTCGTTTCTGCAAGCCGATCAGATACCCATCCGCCGGCGTCTCCGTTTCCCGTCGACCGAGGATGGCTCAGCGATTTCCGAACGCCCAGCCCGTCGGGCCGAGCCCGGGCCAGCAGCCGCAACGCTATCCAACGCCCGGGGGGCCACCTCTCAGGCAATACCCGGCCCCTAACTTCCCGGTAAGCTAACATTGAACATAGCATAACCCCCTTCTTCCAGGCCGGCCCTCTTCTCCAGAACATTATTTCCACCGATATAAAATATCACAAAGAGCATTAATTTAGTCTTCCTACAGATTGCTCTTCATCTATGTATACCACACACTAAAAACGTCGACCAAAACAAATTTGTTTACTTTCAGTATTAAATAATTAGCAGGCTTATTGCTTGTTTTAAGAAATTCTTAACACTTCCTGTCGTCATTTTAAATAAAAAAATCTAGTTGATAACAGCGATGAAAATCGTTCATTACTTTGTGCTTGATTGCATATATTTTTCCTGCCTTTCTCCGGTATTTATGTTACAAAACGACAAATATAATAAGTGTTCACGAGCAAAATATTGAACAATAATTGTTTATTTTTCTAGACTGTTAGGCTGAAACTAACAATCAATTTTTTGTACAACTGCATACAAAATTTATCGTATTACAAGGATTACATGTGCAGAATATTGTATGCACATTTACATGTCTGGTGTGGTTGATTTGAATGGCCACTATCCAGAGAGTCCAGAGTAATTGGCCATTGTGGCGTGAAGTCAAGAGCAGACCCTACAGTTGCCAAAGTTATACTTTCTGTCAAATGGTCATGAGGCAGAAGTTCAGTCTTCTAAGAGGGTTGGAAGAAAGGGCCGAGCTGGACAGGTTGCAAATTAATATGTTGCCATGAGAAGATATTTTGGGGTGAAATTTATTGTACCATGAGTGGACCAGGTTTGGGACATAGAGTATGTTGAGATCAGAGTGGGTAGTGAGGAACTAGAATAAACGCCTTTGACTGATGGGAAACTTGGCTTTAAGGGTGTTAAGGAAAAATAAATTATCTTGGTAATGGTAAAACCATCTGACAATTTAACAGTTCTTAACACAGCTTTCTTACCAAAGAGTCGAGTTCCAAGAGACAAGAAACATGTATATTCACCATACCAGTACTTTAATTCTTATGTATAGACTAAATATATTCCATGCCAAGAGCATGCATGCCATGAGACGTGGTTCATGTCATCTGGTAACCATTTGGTTTTCGTTTACTTGTCTCTTTGTTTTCCAGGATTTTGTAGAATCTGCCATCTGACCAAGCTTTGATATACTATTTCTTTCTATTACTCTCTTAAAACATTATACTGATCAATAGTGCGACCCTAAAAAAAAGGATGCAAAAATAAATTACTGTACTATATACTAAAAGGCTTTTTTACTCACCTGAAAAATACCAATTTTTGCATTCAATTGTTTGACATTGTAACAATGTTATACTCCAATATATAACTCTGAGTGATGCACTCAGTTTTCTAAAAAATTAATGATATTTTCAATAATACAAAATATATATAAAAGGAATTAATAAAAAAATTGGCCCAAATGTCTGCATTTTTGCTGCACTACCATACTACTCTTTCATGCAGGAAAAAGGAGGGAAGGAGGGTACAAACTGTTGAAATGCATATAAGCAATGAGAAGTCCATTTGTACAGGACCTTTGTGAGCAAAGTGTCAGGCCTTGTTCACCTCGTGAGGCTTTGCTCAGTCCTCACACCAATTCACCGTCCCATTTTATTGGGTACTGTTTTGTCTAAAAAAATCAGTGCAGCACATCAATGCCTCCACTGGCATTATAAATAAGCAAAAACCCAAAATTGTAACTATTTAATAAATTTAAAAAAAAGCTTTCATATGTGTCAAAGTTTTCTGAATCAGGAATAATGTAGATCTCGGTATGGTTTGGATGAAAAAGCAAATTCGATTGTTTTTGAAACTATTTATTAAATAATTAATTATGTCCATTTGCAGACAAATTTAAGATTGTTTTGCCCTGATGATGATTTTAAAATAGTGTGGTATTTAGTGACAGTTAATTAATGATTATTTGGTTGGACCAGACCGCATCTCACGATCTCCAAATAACTTTAAAATAGGACAAAAGCTTGGAGAATTAAATTAGTTTTTCATCCAGACCATATCGAGATTCAGGTTATTCGTGAGTAAAATATTGGTCAATACGTCTAACACTTTAATCGCAAATAATGACAGAATCGTTAAATGGTTCAGATCAAAAACAAGACTTTAAAATAACATTTTACATTACAATTAGCACTTTATATTTTGGGTTACCGGCTATTTTTGACCATTTCTGTTAATAAATTATGTTTATACCAATTAATCAAATTTTACAGCATTATATCTAACCCTAAAATATTATTTGATTTTGGAAAGTCTTGGAAATATTCATTTATATTTATTTACTTTTTTTTCATTTTTCTTATGCTTTATGTTGAAAATATAGTTTAACCAACTGTTTATAATATTTTATTTTCAAGCATATTATTTCAAATACACCTTATTTTAATCCTTTTTCTTTTTCTTTTTTTTATTTTATTCCATTTTTTCCCTCTCCGATTGGTAAACAATCAGATGCAACAAAGAGGGGCTTTTGTGCAGGGTCCAGGCATGGGAGTGCCAGGAATGGTCCAGCGTCCGCAGCAGCCCCCTTACAATCCCATTAGGCCTCCGATTCCAGGACAGGCACAGAAACGTCCAGGAGATGTCAGGCCACCACCTCAACAACCACCCAAAGGGTATGTTTGCATTGTGTCCCTTAAATCGCTATTTTTTAAAATTATTTTTATTCATTATAACGGAGGATAAAAGAGAATTTTTGTTTTCTGTTGATTTTATTTTCTTTCATCCTCTTTTTTTGTTTATTAAATTTTTGTGTATCCGCAAAACCAAAAGCACGCATATTTTGTGTTGTTTTATTGCATTTGTTCATTTTTTATTCCCTTTAAAAACCTCAATATTTGACTTTCCTTATTCTTTAGTATTTTCAACTAACATTCAGTATCTTCAGTATTTTTGTGCATGCTTACACTTTAGTTATATATCCCATAACAAAAACAGTAGATCAAAAATGCCTTTTAGTACTCTTCATTTTTGGGATTCTCGTGGCATGCCTTGTGATTCACTTATACACTTTTTTTAAACACAGGATTTCTAGTTACATCCTAAACTATGGTTCACAATTATGGTGAATTATAATGAAAACATTATATAAACATCTGAATACTGTCTTGCATATAGTGACTTTGTCATAAAACCCAATCTTACATGGCCTATTCGGTTTCAGATGAGAACAAATATTTTTCCCTGACTAAAATGCTGAAAGAGTCATCAGCTAATTTTTTCCTAAAAAATTACTTGTCTTTTCTTCTAGTTACCATCCAACAGTTGATCGCCACTATGGTCAGGTCAGATAGGCATTAGTTGTTACTATAACGTAAATCTCATTGAATAACAGAAAACTTTTCCATTGTAAATTTGTCCAAATTAATTTTTTAAGGTGGGCCAGATAATGAATTTTTTTATGTTGTTGTTAGGGACTCCATTTTTACCACTTTCTAACATGTAGATCATAGCTTGCATGAAAGACTTAATTTGTCTTTTAAATTCTTTTCCTATTTACCAGTAGGCATAAAATTAACTTTTTATTTTTTCAATCTTATGGACATGTAGGATTTCACCTGTTCTCTGATGGAAAAATTTTTTTCTTTCAGAAGATTTGAATAATTCTTTTAACACTCGCACTGTCACACTTTTAGACCCAATATTTTTTAAAATGCAAAAACTATGATACCAAGGTGTTTTTTCATTTTATAATGTTTATTTTATATGAACATACCAACTTATAAATAAAAAAATTCATGTGTAGGTATGATAAAATTTTATGAATATTATTTTATATTATTACTTAATTATAAATTTTAAAATATTTATTGTCGTTGCCAGAACAAAAACATCTACCGTCAAGAGAAATGTTTTGTTCTTCTTTCTGATTCCAAAATGTTTCAAAATATTTGCGCAAGTAAAAACAGAGTTAGCATACTTTTGCTTACTTTCACACAGAAAAGTGAGAGGAGCTTTGGGGTAAATGAGAAAAACCAGGACAGTAGATTTAAGGGTAAGGGATTAGGGTGCCAGTAGTAAGGCCGTTTTTGCTACCTGAGTGAGTAAAGTGGGATACTAACAATTATAGTTGGAAAAAAAAAAATTGAACTAGAAAAAAAATGACATAGACGATAAGTAAATAGACCCAAGCATCTTTTTCTGCAAACCGAGCAATAATGATTACATTTTGCAAACAAAATTACTTTTCATTCAGGAAAGACCTAATACAATGGAAGGTAGATAAAAATAGACTAAAAAGTGAATAACACAGTCAGAAAAAAAAATCATTTTCTGGGTCTTGAAAGACCCACTACAGTGGTGCGAGTATTAATAAATAAATAAGAATATTATTTTACTGTTATAAAATTTAAATATTGTGTTATCGAATTTTGATAGCAAATGTAGATCTTTAGATAAAGGAAGCTTTTATTGAACAAAGATAATAATTATCCTATTATTATTCATATTTGCCACGCTAGCAGTCCTGGGATCGAATCCCGGTACAGCCCATGGTTTTTAATGGAGATTAGTATGAAAAAAGTTGTAAAGTGTAAGGCCCCTCGACCACAAATTCCAATGGGTAGTTGGACATTAAGCCCTCCTGTACGACAGAAATTACTTTACTGTTTATAGTTTCTGTATTGCATTGAAAATTGTTACTGGGTAGATCTTATTTTACATATTTGGCATGTTGTTATTAGCATTATTTCCTCAAGTTCTTTATTTGGTAACACTTTTATAAAACCAGTAGTCATTAAATATTTGTAACACAAAATATAATATTAACTATGGGTAATTATTTGGACTGTAAAATATAAAAGGGTTAAAATCATGTAAGACCATTTAGCACATGCACTTTGTAAAAGCTTTGGATACTAACACATCCCGTTTCTTAACCACTTTCACCTCGTTTTGCCTATCCCTTTCCGTCCCCTTTTCGTTTTGCGGGTACACAGGGATTTCACTCATCCGACGGGTGGTGCCTCTTCGACCCCCAGCAGCAAAAAGAAGAAGAAGCTGGCTGACAAAATATTGCCGCAGAAGGTGAGAGATCTCGTCCCGGAGTCACAGGCCTACATGGATCTAATTACGTTTGAAAGGAAACTCGATTCAACGATCATGAGGAAAAGACTTGACATTCAGGTACTGTACAGTTTATTTTGTCCGCAAGAAAATAATGAAGTTTTATTAAAAATGCTTGTTTTTATTATTTTTGTATTATATTTTTCAAACTTGTCAAATATCCTTACAAAAAAGATCTTCAATCCAATTTCAAATATTAAAATACTCTTAGCTTTTGTTGCAATAAAGACATTTTGCATTTCATTTCCTGATGCACTTTATGCTTAATAATATACATGAAGTTCAAGCTTGTTTGTGCAATTTAAAGAAAAGTTTTTTAGTTAATTGGTAGTAGTAGACTTTAGTGTTGACCTCATCTGGTGAAACATCCCACTGATGATGCCTTTGAGGTGTTATCCACAGTGAAAGTTGTTAAGGCATAAATTATAATATTATATCTAATTTTTATGATGTAAGAGTTTAGAAAATATACAGGGTGTCTCAGTTCCTTCTGACGAAACTCAGGGAATCGATTCTATTCTTCGTTTGGAGCAAAAAATGCCCAGGAGAAAACTTTTGGAAAGCTCTCTATTTTGAAGATATTTGTCAATTTAGGTTTTTTCAACTTTCAACTTATGGTTTTTGTGAGATTACAGATATGACATTTTTATTTTACGAAGCGAGTTCTAATTGATTTATTTCTAACCCCCCACCCTTCAAATTTACCTTAGCTCATGTTTTCGAACATTCAATTGTTATTTTTCAACTCTCCTAGAATGTTATTTAAAAACCTGGATATATCAACATAAAGCATATTAGATGAAGAAGTTTTTGTGAAATTTGACAAGTTGTAGGTATTTTTTTGTAACCTCAGTAGAACGTGCAATCATGACCAAAATTTTAAATTTTGTAATTTTGACATGTTCCAACTGATATTGGCAAACATTTTATGTCATTCAGATTATTGCAAATAGAAGTATCTTACAGCAAATTTAGCGTTCTTTCAAATGGTGTAATTGGATTTGTTGTAGTCTCAACATTTTGGAAATTGTAAGTGTTTTTATGTGGTAACGTAGTGAAAAGTTGAAAAAACCTAAATTGACGAATATCTTCAAAATAGAGAACTTTCCGAAAAAATTTCTCCTGGTCATTTTTTGCTCCAAATGAAGAGTAGAATCGATTCCCTGAGTTTTGTCAGAAGGAACTGGGACACGCCATATATACTCAATAGCAACTGCATAAAACATTTGGATTCATTCAGAATTCTTATTTGGTCTGTTAAAACATTATTTTGTTCAACCTAAGTTACAAGGCCTACAAAACATAAATGTTTTACCATTATTTTCTTAACAATCTGATGTTACATATTGTTCTATTTGTTAATTATTATTTTTTCTTTGGTTGTAGGAAGCTCTTAAAAGGCCTATGAAGCAAAAAAGGAAGTTGAGAATTTTTATATCCAATACGTTCTATCCTGCCAAAGAAGCAACAGAATCAGATGACGGAGGTATTGCTTCATGGGAACTCAGAGTGGAAGGAAGGCTCTTAGACGATTCTAAAAATGACCCCAACAAGGTTTTTATTTTGCCTAGTCTTCCGCAGTTAATTTTCTAATTGTCGTATGTTGTGCATTTATTGTAGCACCCACCTCTGCAGGTTAAAAGAAAATTTTCAAGTTTCTTTAAAAGCCTTGTTATCGAGTTGGATAAAGATTTGTACGGTCCGGACAACCATCTTGTTGAATGGCACAGGACTCCGACAACACAGGAAACAGACGGCTTCCAGGTGAAGCGTCCTGGGGACAAGAACGTCCGTTGCACGATATTACTACTTCTCGATTATCAGCCGCTTCAGTTTAAACTGGATCCTAGATTAGCCAGGCTTTTGGGTGTGCACACACAGACCAGACCGGTTATAATATGCGCCCTTTGGCAGTATATCAAAACGCACAAGTTACAGGTACAGTTCTTGTAATAGTATAACCAAACAAACAATTATAACAATTTTTCTTTTAGGATCAACATGAAAGGGAATACATTAACTGCGATAAATACCTAGAGCAAGTGTTCGGCTGTCAGAAGATGAAGTTTGCAGAGATTCCGCAGAGGCTTAACCCTCTTTTGCATCCACCAGACCCTATTGTTATCAACCACACCATCAGGTACAGGTACATCTGTTTTGTTACTAACAAGACGCATGAGCCAACCCTACTAACATTTCATATACCGCTTCGATAGGTATCCTATGTCATTTTGACTGAGTGGAGGTCTGAAGTGGCGGTTATGCCACAAATTTGATATCTTGTTTGTTTTAGCGTTGAAGGCACTGAACAGAAGCAAACAGCTTGTTATGACATTGACGTTGAAGTAGATGACACTTTAAAGACCCAAATGAACAATTTCTTGCTTTCTACTGCAAGCCAGCAAGAAATTCAGGTAATTAATACTATTCTACTGATTTAAGTATACAGTTGGCTAATTATTATCGTTGTCCAACAGGGTCTGGATAATAAAATACATGAAACTGTTGAAACTATCAATCAGCTGAAGACAAATAGAGAATTTTTTCTTAGTTTTGCTAAAGATCCGCAACAATTTATAAACAAATGGATTGTTTCACAAACTAGAGATCTCAAGGTACACTATTTCAAAATTTATAATAATAAAATCTTAAAAATTGAACAATTCATTATTTTCAATGTTAAATTGTAGACAATGACGGATGTTGTCGGAAATCCAGAGGAAGAACGCAGGGCTGAGTTCTACTATCAGAATTGGGCCCAGGAAGCTGTTTGCCGTTACTTTTACACAAAAGTGCAACAGAAACGTGCCGAATTGGAACAGGCACTTGGAATTAGGAACGCCTAAATATATGTTTTTAATTAACTCTTTTTCCTTATTATATCAACACGCTTTTGTTAAAAACAAAAGTCTGGCATATTTAAATTTATAATATTGTACTCCTCTTTACTTGTAAATAAACCTTAATACTTTTCTGAGTGTTATTCTGTCGCTTGAGTTAATTTTTTCCTTTATGTTTAAAATCTTTAAATTCTATATTGCAAATGAGAAAGAACCACAGTGAAAAGTTTAAAACTTTAAGCACGGATGACGGGGATCGCCATCATTTTGATGCCCTTCTCAAATATAGTTACGGGGATCCCTGTCATTTCTGTTTTATTTTTTAAAGTAACTGTTATAGAGCCGCAGGTTGTAAACATTACTTTTCAGGCCTCAGCAGCATTTGTAGAAATGCATCGCCCGTTTTTGTAAGTTTACATCCTTTGTCAATGGATCTACTTCTTAAGGAAGAAGAAAGTTTTGATAAAGATGTGCAAGAATGATAGTGTAATTTGGTTGCTTCTGATCATTTTGGTCTGTCAGATGCATTTCGACTTCTTTAGTGATCAAATTATTAAAAACTAAAGATGGCGAGAAGTCGAAAAGTGTCTGACCGATTAAATCAATAAGGATAGGCAGACCAAAATGTGTAAACGACAAAACTACAGGAGTACAGGTAGTTAAGTTTGAAGCTGGCAAGACCACAATAACTGACAAATTGCTATAATCAAATTTAACTGGAAAATATCAAAGTAATAAATGTCCACTAGGCTTTGAAATGCAATGGCATGAAATGGATTAGCACTACTTTATCGTATTTTTAAAATATGTATTTGTAACTGCAAGGCTTGGCTTAGTTAAGGAACACACTCCACAAACTATTTTATTCAAGATACAATTTTTAAGAAAATCACATATCCTTGAATATACAATCAACAATTATAATACAACAATTGAATACTTTAATGATGACGTTAACACATTTGTAGCTTTTAACTTACAACACGTTTATGCTGGCTCATTGCCATAGTTTTCTTTGGTAAGGGACATGACTTCTTGAGTCAGAGACACTGGAGCTTTGTCATATACAATAAACTTCAATATACATCATTCACAGTTAACTCATTAAAAAAGAAAATATATATATTCACATTTTGTCACAAAAAGATACACTTCAAATTTAAGTCCATGCTGATATGTTCAATTTGTGCTCAGGTATAATAACTGTAATATTAGGTTTGGTGTACCATCATCTTGATGGATAAATGACAAACAAAAAGAGCTGAAAGCATGAAAGAAGTAGACCTAAGGCGTTTGGATACTGAAACAAAAGGTATAAATTAATTTTTAAGGTTTTCTTTCAAGTTTCAGAAACTTACAACAATAAAGGTATCGTTTATTAAATATCCATAAGAGGTCCATAATAAGGTGACAATCATTGTCATTAAGATGACAGGAAATGGAAGTGTTTCACTTGATTTTGTTTTTATCACTTGAGCCTGAAAAACAGAATAATCAGAACAGTTTTATTTAAAAATAAATAAAATAAAAGGCAAACCAAGTTGGCCAGTGGTGCTGCGAAAAAGGAAAGTGTCACCGCACAACAAATCATCCCAAATCGCAGTTTGAGAATTTCCTTGTCTTCTATAGACTTTTTATATGCATAAGCCGTAGCTATGAATAATATTGAAAATAACATTTGCTTCAGTATGTTATTCTGAAAAGAAGCATTGGATTTTAGAATGTACTTTTTTCTTTTTTTTAATTCTGGGTACCTTCTTTGTTGTGTACGAGTAGACAGTTACCACATAACCAAAAAAGAGAGCGGTACCGAGTATGTTTACTAAAGTTATCGCCATCTCCTCAATCATCATGCCATAATTAGTCCATAGCGCACATCTGCAATCAATATTTCACTTTATTCTTTCATAAGATAAGTTAATTTTCTGATAGATTGTCTTATTTAATAGGGACAGCCTTTATTAGTTTGCTATTCCTCTCCCTTTTTTGGTTGATTGTCTTTTCTTCGATGAAAGATTAAAACAAATAAATACTGAACTGCTTCAACCAATTTGTTTATTGATGATGATCCATTTCGAGGCCAATTTGGCTCCCCTGTTCAGGGCTCATAGGAGTAAATCAGTAAATCCACAATTTGATATTACTCCGAGCGCTGAAGAGAGGAGCCAGATTGGCCACGAAATGAAATAGTTTTTTTTTTTCCCTTTTAATGGCCTTATGATCGATGCATATTTAGCCAAGGTGACAATTATTATGTGTATTCATATGGGGGGGGGGGGTTAAAAAAAGGCCAGAGGTGACGTGGGAATCAAACCCACGACCATGGCATCTATGAGACGAGAGTCTCTCATGCTAACCACTCGGTTACCGTGGTCCCCGAATTTATTAGTTTGAATTCATGGTCTAAAATCAGTGAAAATGTACCATGTTAAAAATATGTGGTTTCGATGCATGCAGGAAAAAACTTTTCTTGATATACAATACCGCTAAACAGTCGACAAATTTATGATGTACGTTCACAAAATGCCTCAAAACAATAAAAAAAGATGTGAACAATTTAAATACAGTAATGGTAATATGATACATATTACAACAAACATGCCCGTTGTTTCTAATAATTTATTATAAAGTGGGCTACATCCCTTCCATTTTTCTGTGCAGTTTATCACATGTCTAAGTGATAAACTGTGAGTACTTGACGTTTATACGGATTTTCATGCAGATCAAAAGTCTGTGCATTCGGATCACCTTTTGAAACAATCAACTGTGCAGTTTATTGTACAGTTTGCCCAGTTACCATCTGGCGTCTGATCTATAATTATGTCCACTGTAAAAAAATGCACTTTTGATTTACAGAAGAGAACCAGTCTTGAAAACTAATATCAGTTGCTAGGAACGGAAGAGTAGCCATTAGTCTAACATGAGGTGATCTTGCTTCACTCAAGACTGTTCTTTTTTTTATCAGGGGAGAAATTTGCTCAGTACTATACAGTTGAAATGCATGTTAATTTCTAAAATTATTAATTTACCGGCATACAAGTTTTAATCATTTGATAAAACGCTTCTTTGCAAAACCCAATCTGATGGCATTTTTCCTTGTTCCTACTTCTTCTAGCAAAACAGCCAACAAACTGTCTCTTTTTTCTGTCACCGATTGTCACTTTGCCAAAAGCGACAGAACTGAAGAAAATATTGTACGGAGGAGAAAACTGAATGTAGCCTAACACCCTCAATTCAGTCAATTGTACAGATTTTTCCACAGTTATTTAAGACTGTTAATCTTATTTCATAACGATTTGGCCTTTATAAGTTTGCAACTCCTCTTCCTTTTTTGGTTAATTGAGTCCTGGCCAACCTAGCTCCCCTCTTCAGGACTCGTTGGAGTAATCATTAATTGTTTGACATTGCTCCAATGAGACCTGAAGAAGGGAGCCAGATTGGCCCAGAAATGCATCAGCATCAATAAATGAGTTGGTTGAAGGAGTTCACTATTTATTTGTCCAAATTTGCTAGTTTGATCTCATGGTCTAAAATCAGTAAATGTACTATGTTAAGAATATTTAGTTTCGATGCATGCAGGATAAAATTTTATTGATATACAATACTGCTAAACAGTCGATAAATTTATTATGCATGTTCACAAAATGCATCAAACAACAAAAAAGAAGTGGACGTTTTAAATACAGTAATGGTATGGTAGTATGATACAATAGACCTTCACAAATTACAATAAATATGTCTAACTGTCAGACAAACTGAAGCTGTGTACCTCCCTTAATGCAAGTCAATTATAAATTTAAAAAGCAAAAAGTGTAATGATTAGTTATTTCGTTGAAGTTGCTTACGAGGTGTAGCCACAGATGAACGGTAAAGCTGATACATCGTTTGCAGAACCCCTTTTTATAAATTTCCTGCACACCAAGCTGTTAAAGTTAATTAAAAAAATGTTAAATTTGTGTTCGAAAAGTTTTTAAATAAAAAAACATATTACACTTACACCCCAGAAAGCAACTGAATTATTTGACAGAAAGAGGCAGCAACAGCCAAAACATCTTTGAACTCTGAAGTCATCGTGTCCCGACCGTCGAATTCAGTTGTAAATATTGTATCTTCTCATCATTTCTTGCTAAAGTTTTCCCCTCAAGTTTACTACCAAGTACCACGTACCAAGTGACAAATACCAACTGCCAATTGGGAACTACCAAGTATCAACTATAAATAGGTTTCAACGATTGCCCCTCCTAAAAGCAACCGGTAGTATGATACTGTGATAACACAGGTTATGTTGAAGTACAGCAGGCTTCCATCGTGACCTATGAACAATGAGACATCATCATCTTCCACCAGTCTTTAATTCTAGTCTTCTTTCATACAAAAAAATATTTTTTGTTCATTTCATAAAATACAATTCAGCTTAGAACAGAAAACAAGCAATCATTTTACTATTGTACAGGCAAGATACGTTTCAATTATTATAACTTAATTTTTGGTTGTCTGCACATAGTCCATTCATTTTGGAAGGCCCACCAGTCATGACTCATGAGTTTAGTAAACACATTAAGCCACAAAAGTAACTAAAATTTTCTACAGTTTAGTATTATAAATTAATACGTTTCAGCTACTACTACAGTACTATTCTGACACTATTATATATAACTTTTGTAAACATTGACCTTCTTTTACACAAAATCCACATATGGGATATCATGTTCTTGCATGGTTTCAAGATTATCTTAAAGAAATGTGTGGTGATTAGTGACCGTTAATCGATAATTATTCAGAAATCGTGAGATGCGGTCAGACCGCATCTCACGATTTCTGGATAATTATTATCTTAAAGATGGGTTTCATATTGTTAAAATTTGTTTTTCCCTTTCTTTTAAATTACATGCTTCTTCTGGCATCCCACAGGGATCTCATTTAGGACCACTATTGTTTCCTTTTATTTATTAATGATATTGATTCTTCCATTAATTTTGCATATTTTCTTATTTTTACAGATGGTCTTAAAATTTATTATGAAATTTTGAGTGTTGAGAACATGATTCTCTTATAAATGTTTACCTCGTAACAACATAAACATAGTGTGACTAAAAATGCTTCAAAAACCTCTGTAATATCTTTCTTCTCAGTTCTAAAAAATCCTACTTTTCTTATAACATTAATTTTTATATTTTTTAAATTCCAATTATTTTAAAGACCTACGAGTCACGAATCAGTCCAAAATGTCCATTTCACTAAGAATTTTATCAATGGTAAATAAATATTTTAAGTTTATAGGACTCATATCCCGCAGTTCTCATAATTTCAATAATATTATAACCTTTAAACAGCTCTATAAATATTTGTCCCTTTTAATTCTGAATTTTCTTCTCCTGTCGAGTCTCCTTATTTTCTCTTTCAGAAACACTCATTAGAACAAGTTCAAAATAAATTCTTTTAATTCATCTTCTTCAAATTAAATATTCCCTATATAATACTATAGTTAACATAATTTGCCTTATTTCCAATCTACTATTCACTTATCTTCATTAGAATCTTTCAGTTATTTTGATTTTGTGTTTATTTATAACTTAATAAATAATAGAATTGATTGTCTTTTATACTTTCTAACAGTGGACAAATTTTATCAGGCCACAGTCGGGTTTCTGATTCATGTTTATGAAGGATTTAAATATATCAAGTTCTCTGATTGTAGTATCATAATTTATAGGGTCAAAATTTTATGTGTTATGTTTGAAATAAACTGAGCCAAAGTATTGAACAAAGAGGTTAGTGATTTGCACAGGGTGCTTTGACATGTTGTAACTAAGTAACAATAGAAGCATATTTTTTCTCGTTTATTCTAAATGTAGGAGTGAAGACTTTTTGATTGGTATGAAAATCGTGTTGCGATAAGTGTAAATAATTTATATGCCAATTTTATTGTTAATTGTGAAAATGCTTTGTAATCAATGTCTCAACCTGACATTCTAAATTTTTTATGGGCTATATTTTTTGTATGTATTGTAGGAATCCATTGAATGGACCATTAGTTTTACAATTGCCCATCATATCAGTTTAGTATAATAAAAGAGAAAAGTATTAAAAAAATTTACATTGTGGTTTTGTTAATTAAAATATAATTATTTTTTATGCCATATATTTCAATCGCTTTGCATTTGAAACCAGTGAGTTCTATTTGGCTCAAATAATAGCTTTGCCTGGGGACCAGGGAAGTGGCCTGAAATGCATAGCAATTGTATGTATATGGCATAAAAAATAGTTGGTGTGTTAGTTTAAAAATAAAATAAAATATAAAAAAATAGAATATAAAACATTTTACCAACAATTAAATTAATAAAAAGAATTTGAAGTATTTTTTCCTGGCCATGTTAAATTGAAGCATGAGAAATGTTTAAATTTTAGTGTTTAATTATAAATCTTGCAAGGCAATGTTAGTACTACTTCATATGTGCCTGGTACTTCTAATATCAGTAGTTTTCTTTCAATTATAAAAGCTAAAAGAACTAATAACAATAGAACTAACTTGCTTGTATGTGTTACAAATAAATATTAACACTAAATAACAGTTATTATTACTAATTGTTCAGTTCAAGTTTATAACATCTATAAAATTGAAACAAAGCTACTCATAATTATTGCAGGTGTTATGATCATTACTATAACACATTAATTATCGTTATATAAATAGTAAAAGAGATATTAAAAGAAATAGTGAACAAGAGAAGGAAAAAAATAATATGTTAAAACTTTAGAAAAGAAAGAATTTTTTAAAGCATAAAGATCTTTTAAAATATTCCAATTTATAGTAACACTTTTACTACTTGTCATTGCTACAATTTATAATTAAAGTATGTTATTTTGACATTAAATACCATTATTTATAAGTTATTAGATCAGTATTTTGCATCTACTGCTGTTACTATTCTTCTGAACTCTTTTATATAATGTTATATATTAATGTCAGAAAATGATTGTTGTAGTTTTTTGGAACAATGTTAAACCTGATCAAGGTTGATCATTCCTAACAAATGAAGTACCATTTTGTGAGACTATTATGATGTCATGAGGTGAACAATGTTTGTTTTTTCCCCCCTAATATACAATTATATATTTATGTTTATAACCTAGATTGTAGGAAGAGGAAATAAAAATTGTATTCTGTAATATTTTAACTGACTTAAAAATACCCTTTTAGGCGATATCGCGTAAGTATTAGTGGTGTTTAATCATCGTCATTAAAATTTCTATGTGGCCAATTTGACATAAGTCAGGCGTCAATTGTTAAAATTTATTTGGAAAATTTTATTTTAACCATTTTTGAACTTATGGTAGTGAAAGGCTTGAGTTGTTGGTCATGTCGATACTGATGATTACTGCTGATGATGCAGTACAGTTGAAATGATGGAACTAGGGAAAATTCACTAAACAGAAAGAATGGCTAAGGCAGTCCATTCTATGATAAATCCGAGAACGCATAAAATGTAGAAGCTGAAATGTTTAAAATGTTTGTCATAAATTATCCAAATAGATCCTTTAGTTATAATTATTAAGGTTTATCTTCTGTAAAAAGAAGCTTAAATGATCATTCTCTTTTACAGTTTAGCAACAATCAAACTTTGTTATTAGCTGTTTTCTTTCTTGCTAATGTGATGATGATGTGGGTTTCAAAAAACTAACAGAAAGAAATGTTTGAAAAGATACTTTTCATTTTCACTCAAAACTGAAGATCATGTACTTCTATATTGCCTGGAGAGATTTTGAAGCTTGCTTACAAAATTATCTATTATATTAAAATATTGGAAGGCCAATTGCAGCAATAAATATTAATGAGCAATATCTCACACTATCTTTAATGTAAGGGGACCTTAGTAGCTGAATTGATTTGGCATCCAGCTTTTATTTGCCATGGTACTGTAGTAATTAAATCCTGGCATAGCTCATGGAGTTTTATTTGAGATTAATTGGGTTCCAGCAATCCTGAATTCAGTCCCAAACCCCTTCGAAAATGAATTTCTTCAATGGAGGAAAACCAGCATAACGGGGGCTCAATTCACACATACGTGTTGTGAGCTCCCAAAAATGGAGGCAGGAAGGAGTTTAATAAGCTGCAAAGCTGCAGTGCTCGGGAGAACTCTAATTCCTGGTATCAAAAAAAAAAAAAAAAATCTAAAAGGGTGTATACAAATAATAGAACACAAAATCAGAAATATTTACAATAACATTTACTTTTTAATTGTAAATAAGACACATAAGAATATAGCTTTTTATCATCCATGACCTGCATTTACATAAATTTGTAAACTTAGGCCTCTTTTAAACAAGGCGGTTTGTTTGATTCAACTAAGTTGCCTGGTTGACTTTCAATTAGTTAAGACTCTTTCTTTGCTGGTTTCATACCAGGCAACTTGTGGAATCTACCTCTTCCCAACAGGAAGTCAGTACGATGTTAGACCTGAGGAAGCAGGAGCACTTCTTGTGCTTGCTCTTTTGCAAAAAGAGAAGCAAAAAAGGAGGAAACCCAGTAAAGAAAAGTGTGGGTTTATCCATTATTATAAAATTGGAAAACGGGCGCTCTCTCACAAATACTGTTGTGCTACTTCCCTCCAAGCTTCGCTTCTTTTAATTTTGTCGCTATACTCCTCCACCTCATGTCCTTGACTCAACTAGGTGACTGGTGTGATGGACGAATGCCGAAAAATGTTTTTTTGTGTTGAGTCAACCAGTGATGAGAACATGAGTGGCATTTGTACCTGGCTGGCCACCCACCTGGGCAGAGAAGTTGACGGCCAAGGGGTTGGCGCGGTTCCCATCATTTGCTACTTGGGCTACACTCCTTGACACTAGTCCCCGTTCAACTTGTCGCCCCGTCTGAAAGAGGCCTAAGGGTTGATTAATATTGAATATTTCAGAATGTTGGTTGGTGGACATGGAAATGTTAATCCCAACTCTAATTATATGAAAAGCCGTGGGCTTTGGCTGAGTTACCTCATTGGTATTCTCATCCTGCATCTGATACTGCTTTCAGTCCCTATGCTTAGCATCCCTATGGCTTGGACCTTAACAAACCTCATACACAATGCAGTAAGTGAAAATTATTATGTTGAAATGCAATTTTGTAATGGTTGCGCTTTTTCAGTTGCACTTTGTTTTCCTACATCTGCTCAAAGGGACTCCGTGGATACCGGAGGACCAGGGCTTAAGTAGCCGCTTAACCCACTGGGAACAGATCGACGATGGGAAACAGTTTACAAAAACAAGAAAATTTTTAACAGCTGTACCTGCTGTACTGTAAGTTTATTATTCACTATAAAATATATATATTTTTTATTAATATAACTTTTTTTAAAGGTTTTTTCTTACATGTTTCTACACCAAACATGAACCTGTACACTTCGTAGTAAATTACATTGCAACTCTTCTCGTAATCATACCGAAACTTCCGCAATTTCATGAAGTTAGGCTGTTTGGGATCAACAAGTAAATGTTTTAATCCTGATTGGTGAGTAAGAAATAGCCACGCAATTTTAAGGGCCATTTTATGATGGACAATTTGAATCGATTTTATGTTAAATAATCAAAATTTTATATTCGTCTTTTCAATTTTGTTATTATATAATTACAACTAACATTTTCAATGTATGATAATGAAATTTCCATGGCTGTGGGGCATGGCAATACTGTTTAGTTAAAGAATGATATAATTATATTTTTGTACATATTTTTCTATGAAGTTTATAGTTTTATGGCAATTGTGATAGTATTATTATATTTTATTTTGAAAAATGTGATACAAGTGCCTCTGAATATGTTGGCCAACATTTTCATTGTTGTAATATTTCATTAAGAAATATTTTTAATCAAGCAGTTTAAAAGAATCAATTTCTCTTTGCAAAAGCAATGTGACACAACTTACTGAGAACATTTACAAATTTTATTACAGAAAATATCCTGTTTTATTTGTGTTAGCACATAGAAAACCTATCATTCTATTTAACCAAAGTCATAAAGAGATAATACTAAGATCAATCATTTAAGATGTGAGGTTTTACAATTATTTTTAAAAGGGACATGTATTATTTTCCTCCTTCATTTTTCTGAACTGTTCCACCAGTTTTTATTTTTTAATAGCTTTTAGGCCAGTGCACGCCCCTTTCAGTCTTATGTCATGTGGGAGAATAATGTTAAAATCTTCCTCTGAGGGGCCTTGTGCTTTCCTGAAAGCTATTGAAAAAACAAAACAAAAAACTGGTGGAATTATTAAGCAAAACACCACCATTTCAACTTTCACATAGAACATATATGTTTATGTTTGTTTATAAAAATGTTTATGAAAATAAATAAAACTTTTCATGCAGAACACAGTTTCTTACTTCTTTGTTAGTAATTTCAGTACCTAAGTATTTGTACTTAGTCTGTTAGCAGACAATTTTAATTTTTAACTAAACCATTTTTTAACCTTCAAACCATTATTAATAGGGAAGGAAGGTCAAGTGATAATAATGAACTTTATTGCACAAAAAATAAATAAATAAATGCAATAAAAATATTATTTTACAAATAAATATATTAACTTAAATCAGCATGTAATTATCTACCGATTTTCATGTCTGTGCTCAGGTTTAACATATTTTTCCTGATAAATATTGTTTAGATTTGAAAGTTTAGGTGATGCAAGGTATTTTAAATTTTTTGAAGTTATTTTTATTTCACATGTTTTAAGAAAAATACATGGTTTTACTATTTTGCTCAGTGCTACATATTTACAGTAGATAATCGTATGACTAAATGTTTTTAACATTTCTTTGAAAATAAGACCACAGTGGTTAGAGCATGTTACTTGTTTATGCAACACTAGTAATTCCAGGTTCAAATTCTGGCAAAGCTCATAAAAATTTAAATAAGAATAATTTTAAAAAAATCCCCCCTCATCCATCACATCCAAAGGGTAGTGGGACTTTAAATTCATTTTTAATTGTGAAAGTAGGCAAGCCACCGAATTTTTACCAAAAAATTATACACCTTGTGTTTAGGCCACACAAGGGATCGAATTGTAGAAATGGTGAGAATGCAATTTTTTATGTTGATTTTATATCGACTGAAAATATATATATATTTTTTTAAGTGCTCAGCTGAATAAGAATTCTAAAAAAGAACTTATAGTACAGAAATACAACCCCCCCCTTCAGCCAATAATTTACTTGATGAAGTATGACCCGGAAGTAGCCCACTGTTATTCTACAAATTTATATAAATGTGTCAAAACACATTTTTGTCAAGATGTCAACTTGGCTAAAACATTGATGGAAAAATATAGCTTAAAGAATTATCTCGCTCTCCTAAGTCCTACATGTCTGCAAAACAAATGAACATTTTTCTGAACTGTATTGTGGGGTGTTGAACCTGTAATTTGGTCATTACCAAATTCGCAGACCAAATTGATGGGTAACAGCCTAATTTTTATATCGCCAAATTTGGCATTGTAAACTTTTCGTTTTTATTTAAAAAATTAGAATTTTAGTTTTCGTACTTACTTAAAATTATTTATTATAAATTTATTACTTTATCTTCAAATTATTTTATAAACTTCTGTTTTCTAGTTATGAATATCAATTTTTTTTAAAATTATTAACTCTAGTTGCTTGATTATCATCTTAAAAAATATTTGTCATACAAGTCCATGAAAATGAGAAAATTACTACATTTTTACATACGTTCATTCAATTTAATTCATTTTTTACTTTCACTTAATGTACCTAATATTTTGCCTATATGTGGACCCTTTTAAAGTGGATAAAATCCCTTTCCCAAGTAGTGTCCGGTAATGGGAAGTTTGTCTTATATAATTTGCATCAATAGTGATTAATTATTGGGGCGTCGGTGGCCGCAACGGTTTATGCTTTAAAAAAAAAAAAGATTAATTAAAGGTTTAATAAATAGTTGGCTAGTTTGAGTAATGGCAATGAAGATTTCTACCTGCAGCTACTGTGTTCTTATAAGGCATTAAAATAAAAATAAAATAGATAAACTATTAATTTTATTTATGATTAATTAGTCAACAATGATACAAAGATTTTAAAAACATTGGAAAATGTTTTATATTTAAACAATGAAAATAAATTCAAGTACTGTTCAACAAAGTAATTTACAAAATTATTATAATTAAAACAATTTTTTTCTTTCTTACACTATTACTATTTTACACAAAAGAAGAGACAATGTTATTTACACAACAAAGAAAAATAAATGAACAAAGGTCATATATTATCAAAATGATTCGTATTAATAAAATTGGTTTAATGACTTTGCAACTTAAACTAAAAGCTTTTAGGGTTTAAACTCTGTCATTTAGTATTTAAATATTTTAAATTGCAAATTCATTATGATGATAATAATACTGTAGAAATTGACGTCATACAAAATCCAGTTTATGACTTATAAAAAAACTTACAAATTTATGGCAAGTGTTCAGCATTTCTGTTACAAAAACTCACCTATTTGTTTAGTGTTCAAAGTGATGTTTCGCTTGTGATCACATGTGTCTTGAATAAGGTCGATACTGACAATGGAGAGTAGGGGTAGGTGAGATGTTAAAGTAGCTAGGGGTGTATGACTGATTAGAAAACCGACGGCAGTGGACAGAATGCCCTGAGCAAGACATGCATTCGTCAGAGGGGCTTGAAAGAGTGTCCATGTCCCTGTTTGATCTTGAAGTCTTCGATAGAGACGGCGGGAAGAAAGTGAATGACTTCACACGATGTTGAGGCATATCGTTTACAAACCTGTTGAACAGGCGAGTAAGTTTTTAAGTCAAAATTTCATATTATAAAAGCAGTACCTTGATGAAAAATTGCCGCTCTTTCCTGACTTGATGCTCTCAGCTTTTGAGTGCTGGGCTGTGGAAGAAAAAATTGAGGCCGAATTGTCTGCTTCCCACCAATACGGTGTGGCGATGTAATCATCAGGGTATGGATTGGTGAATGCATGCCCGTTGGTGTATAAAGGCCGTACACCTTTTGATGTACCATCACCGATGTTTAAACCTTTTATTCTAGTCTCTATTGACCCTTCTCTTTTTGTTGAATTTTCTATGTTGCTTTTGTTTAATTGAGGCAATACTTGTTCTTCAAAGTGGCTAAAACTTTGATTTGGTGATTCACTAAAGAAAGAAAATAAATGGTCTCATAATTTATGATGCAATATACACAAAATACAAAATTACACTATTAAAAAATACATACACTGGTGTTGATGTTGCAGGTACATAAGTTTTAGACGTGAAACCATTAAACTTTGGTTTTGGTTCAATTTTTGACTTTTTAGGTGTTTTGACATCAAAGAATATATGGGCACAGATTAGGCATGAAATAATACCAGAAACAGCCTGTAAGCAAATTAGAAAATTAGTAAAAAAGGTCATACATATAAAATAATGTGAATTCAAGGAATTACGTCAGGCGGTTCAATCTCAGTCTGTGCATACAATTAAAATTAATAAAAGCCTTCTATCTCCCAAAGTTAACTTTGTTTAACTTCAAGTTCTATAACATGAAGTTTTATATTGTATATTCATAAATTAACTACATTCAATTGCAATAATTATATCATATATTTTTATTTGATAAATGATTTCTATTCATGATGTTCCGATTCCCTTCCTTCCATTGTTTGTTGTCATATGGATTACTTACTTCAAGAGAAAAATTCCAGCCGTTTAGGTTAATTGAATAAAAATTGAGAAACATATTAAAAGCCCAAGACACAGCGTTAAGGGTGATCAGATTTGAACGAGTCTGGTAAGCGCTGTAGACGTTAAAAGCAAATCCAGAAATCAGAAGTACGCTGCACTGGTTGAGTGCTGACGAATACACATTCCATTTCGGTATGTTATTTAAAACAATTTTTGTCTTGGCAGCGTTTTTAATTAAATATCTGTAAGTCAGGTTTGAGTAGTGGTCCCAGGGGAATCCGTTAATCCCGTACATCTGCATATAAGCCGAAAACGTCAGGCACAATGATAAAATAAAATTGACTATCAAAGCAAATTTTCCTGGTTGATTGGCCTAAAAACATACAATTACATTAGAAAAATATTTTTAAAAAAGGTCATAAAAAATTTACTTTTCTATTAGCATTAAGTTTTCTAGGAACTAAGAAATCCTGCCTTTCTTTCATGAAAATGTCATAAAGAAGGTGGTCACATTTGTTGCACAATTTAAAGCAGTTATCCAACTGAGCCCTGTGAAATGTTTGTTTTTAATTTTTTAAATTAGCATATTAAAAATAGCCAAAATTGTTTACTTGTAATGCTCAATTTCCTTGTTGTAATTTCTTTCACTTATAGGCACAAACTCGGCAAGCAACTTCACTTTGAGCTCCTGGTTGTAATTGCACATTTTGCACAGTTCGTTGACAGTCTTCCAATCGTTTTTGCACCGTCCTTTTATTGTCACGGGGAAATTCATCTTCTCCTCATATTGCCTAAATATAGTTTTGTTGTAGTCTCCATCCTACAAAACACACAAAGCTTGTATTCAATGATTTACCTAATCATATGGATCACTTTTACCTTTTTAAATCCGTTGTATTGATCACAGTTTGGACAGTGCCAGCTGTTCGAACTCTGATAAGGTACTTGAGTGTTGTGATGGCAAAACCAACATTGGACTGACTTGGGAATGGTGTACCTAGAAAGAAAATTATAAAGTTTAATTATGATTTGGTAAACATTAATCAGCTATTTGAAAAGCCGTGGTCATTCTAAGACCAGAATGACAGACGTCTATTATTGCAGTCAATTTTAGGCAAAAATCGAAGTGTGTTGATACATCTATGATACTCTCTTCATCTCAGTTTTGATTCGAAATCACCCAAGTCCAATTATGTACGGTTCTGTGGTATATGTTAGGTTTATTAGGACTGCACACCTAGCTTTCATGTGAATTATGAAGTAAGCAATGTAGTGTCAGGAAATTTTGGAAATGTGTGGTTTCCAGGGAAGATTTTGATCAAGGTACCACAAAGTTTTTTTAACAATGGAGCAGAAGGAAATGGCTGGTTGTTTTGATTGTGAAAAACGGATGGATGGGAGAGATTTGAGGAGGTATATCAATGGCTTTGGACTTTCTAGGATTTAATTCTAGGTTGTTTTTTATATTCTTTACATTTTGGGCATGTAAGTTGGACGGATGGAAGGAATTATAAATTTGGGAGTCCTAGGCATAGAGGTGGTAATCTCGCGCTGAGTGGTCGGGAAACATTTTTTGGGTACGAGAAAAATCCATACAGGACAAATGGCGACTAGTGTCTTTAGAGTTGAGCCAGCCAGGCTGCATTTGCTGACCACCTGCCTAAGCGGATAAATTGACTGCATTTGAAGGAGTTTGAGAGGCTTCAAAGCATTTGCAACCAGCTACACTGACACTTGCCACTAATTCAACTACACTAATTACAAATTACTACACAAAATTAATGCACCACTCTGAAATTTTAATGTATTGATGTTTATTCATATTTTGCATACCAAAAATAGGTTTGGTTGTAAAAGTAAGTCATTAAAAAAGAAAATGTTTTTATTACCTAATTTAAAAAATTGTTGTCCCATTTAATGCAAATATTTACACTTCTGGCACAAATCACATTCATTAAACACCTTTGCATTCCTTGGAAAAGATTTAAAAGATTTTTGGTAAAATCCTGAGGAATTCTTTCCCATTCATCAAGAACAGCCGTTTCCAACTACTCTACTACTAGGTCTAAGGTATTAGGACCTAGGTTTCACTATCGCTTAAGTTGGTCCTAAATGTGTTCGATTGAACTGAAATCTGAACTTCAAGTTGGCCGCATCAAACACTCAATTCCAGCATCAGCAAGAGTCTCTCACTGAGGGGGGGGGCAAATGACACCACAAGTTATTCGATTACGTCTTGTAAGTACCTATGTGAAGTTATAGATCTTTCTCACACAACAACCAATTCGGTGCGGGCATCCAGAAACCATACAGCATGGGGGTACCTTTCTCCTAAGCATCTCCATATGAAATTATGCCCATCTGAAGATTTGTAGCACTCTCACCTCACCTGTAAAGAAAACTCGTACGTAATCTTCCTATGTCCAATTCACATGTACCTATGCAAATTGAAACCTGGACTTTTCTAATATGTATGAAGCGGTCCATGAGCCACGTGCCGGACCCTGAAGTTATTTTCGTAGAACTTACAGTCCTGGAGGAAACAAACATTTCAGACTTGTCTTCAGATTCGTAGAGCCTGATGTATCTATCGACTCTCTGGTCTATAGACTTAGGTCGACCCTGTCCTGACCTCCTAGTGCGAAGCCCTGTTTCTCAGGAGCGCTGAAGAACCCTTCCTATTTCAGAGTGATTTACACTCAGTCTCCTGGCAACTCTGTGCTGGCTATACTCTTCCGCTAATAATGTTATGACCCTGACACCGTCAGACACACTCAAATGCCTGACTGGAGTCATTAAAAAAGGTTTAATAATAACAATATCAAATGAAATCAACAAAGGAAAAAGATTGACTGAAAGTGATCTTTAGGGGTAGCAGAATGGTAGGGCATAATTTTACCTTTTGTGCAAATGGGAGTAATCAGTACAAAAGCAAACAAAGCATTTTTTACTGTTTATTTTGAATGGAGTAGTTACTAACTACCAATGTAGAAACATAATGGATTTAATCCTTTTTAGAAAAGATGGTTCCTACTTACATTAAGTCACTTAATGTGAGTAGGAACCATCTTTTTTAAAAAGGATTGAACTCCACACTCACCCCATCATTTATAATTTCTATTAATGGATTTAATTTTAAACTAATTAAATTGAGTGGTGCATTAACTTTGTCAATCTGTATAGTTGAATCAATTAACTGCCTCGTGTGAAAGAGGTAGTTTCAAGAGAAAACGATAGACCCCCTTTGTATTTTACACTGGATACTTTTTTCCAAATACAGAAACAGCAACTAGATACTCAGCCAGGTGTAGCTACCTGCTGAAACCAGATGTATTCCTCGTATGATTAGTCAAAACTATTGTTGACCAGTCATGCAGTCTTGATGCAAGCTGGTTAGCAATGACTCAGGTCCTGCCCCTGGGCCTTTTACAATAAATATTCACATACATACCTCAGCCATACCAGGAACTCTCTGAATATGCAGACTACGGCAAATCCGAGGACGGCCGTCGTGATCGCCCCTGGGTCCATGTCTTAGTGTTAAAACTGATAAATCCTAGATGCCGGCTCCGATCGTGAATCGTCCAAAATCTGTATTATAAAAACACGCCGGCCCTCCGGCAAAGTCTTCTACATACGCGACCATACACAGATATACAGAATAAAACAAATATACAGATATCTACTATACTGAACGTATATACAAAACAAATGTAACCTTTGCCGGTAATGCAGGAAGGAATTTTATCACGCGGTGATGGCTGCCACAATGTGCTTTTGGGCGGCAAATATCACTCTTAAGCATAAATACAAATAATTATAAAAATATGTGCATATAAAAATTGTACAGTGATGTATTAATATTTTTATTTTATTGCTTTTATATTATGCGTAAAATATTGTTAATTGAGATTATTTTAAGATAATAAAGTTAATTACCTGGAGATTACACTGCTGTTACAGGTTTCTCTTTATTGTAGCCTCTAGCTTCACAGTAGTTTTGTTTATGCTATCCCTGGGGTGCAGTTTTTCTCAATTTTCACAATGAACCAGCAAATTCCGACGGAAATCGGCCCGGACGCCGGTGGAAGAATGAAAGTGAGTTCACCATTTGTCAATTTGACAAGATTTCATTCAATTCGTTGGTCATCAGCGTTGAAAAAGCTATGTTTCGTCTTAAGACATTTTCCTATGAATTACTAAACAAACCAACCCTAAATCAAAAATGGACCAGCCAATTTAAAAGTTTTGTAAGCGGGCGTCGTCGCTCTATATGCTTATTGTTATACTATGATTGTAGTGAACTCTACTTCATCAGAAGTCAGTGTTAACACTAGGTGTATATTGTGACTATAGGTTGGACTGTAAGTTGCCCCCGGTTTTATCGAAGATGGAAGACGAGTATACGTATTCTGTGGAAAATCCACATTTAAAAGTGTTGAGTTGAGCGGTAGAATTTTTTTTATATAATATTTCTTGTATCCCGTACATGAATTATAGACCTTACAAATTGTTCTAATGGTATAAAAATCCCGGGGAAAATATTATCACTACTGCCAGTACTGCACTTAGAGGACACATGTGAGAAGCCAGCCAATGAGTGCCAACTCAGTTATGTTAAGGCGAGGAGGTCTTGGATCCATCGCCGTTTGATGGCTGAAAGATCGAATGGAAACTTGAGGAAGTAGGTGCGGATCAGTTCTTTGAAGGAGGGTATGTTAAAGTCTGTGAAGAGTGAGATTGGAGAATTCTTCTGAGGACTTTTGATTATAAAGCTTGAAAACGTTGGATGTTAGATGGCTTGGTAGTACCCCACAGTTCCGTTCCATATGTCCAAATAGGTCGAAGTAAAAACCAAAAATACTAATGAATCGTTTGCAGCAAAGGATGATATGGAAGAATACCGAATGCTTTTTTATGAAAATCAGTGATGTTTTGCCATTTTGGCCTACAAATATCCCAATTGTGGTATACACTTATTATTGAACAATACTTATTAGTTTTTTCTTATGATCTTTTTTAGACTTCCCCATTCTATTGCACAATGCGGTGGACTGTGGTAGCTGACTGGTCAGCGTGATAGACTCAGGCTTGTAGACTACGCATTGATTCCCACGGAAACCCCTGGCCCCACTCCTTTCCCCAACTAAATATATATGGTACAAATATGTATGTACTCAGAATAACATGTGAGTTCATAAGGCATTTAAAAAAAAGAAAACAAAAGTATAATACACAGGGTGGACTGAACATCAGAATAGATCCTTGTTTGAATGGTGGACATATTCTGATGTGTTCGTACATAAACTAACAACGCAGTCACATGCACTATAAGCACTTTCATAATCCATTTGTTATTTGATCATATTAATTAATTCAATTAATTTTTTATGCTAGGTCTTGGGTGAGATAAAAAAGTTAGTGTGACACTTTTTTAAAAATTTTGTTATTTATTTATTTAATTTTTTTAAATATATTTTTTTATATCTTTGAAAGTTGAAAAAGGAACTTAAAAATCCTTTCCTCCTCTTCGACCTATATAGATCTATTTCGGAACTCCTATAACTTATATCCATACATTGGAAAGTGCACTTCTTTCTATAAGACTTAAGCACTTTCCTTAGTGCCTCATTGTGCACATCTTTTGGTGTGAGAATTGCCTTACCGAAGTGGCTGTACCATAACCAGGCTAATGCTTCATGTTCTTCAAGGATATGTGCCGATGTTTCTGGTTCCTAGTTCAGAGGCATATAATTTTCCTCAAACCCTGGTTGCTGAAGGATTTGGCTTCCATTAGAGTGATTTATAGATCTCTTAGCTTGCTTCATACCTGGTGTTTTTGTCCAGTGCTTGAGTTTTTCTTTCTCGTCGTTTTTCTAGTTCCAACTTACACACACACTCCAGTGCACCTAGTTGTGGTTCTGACCCCATGGGTGAGAGAAAGAGCTACCTTTTTTTGGGCTAGTTGGTCAGCCTGTTCATTTTCACATTGCAATAAATTCTATTTACATGTACGTTTTCAACTGTTGTCTTGTTTGTTTACTTTTTATACACTATTTTTATCTATTGTTATTATGACTGTTGTTCTATTTTGACTATTATATTTTGGGGCTGCTTCCCTATTTGGACTATGTAATAAATGAATAAATATGTAAGGTTGGAAAGTGGAGTGTTTCCATTGCTGTAGTGGAGCAGATATGCACTGCCCCTGTTTTACACTTGACTATTAATTTAATTTTTTATTATACAGCGTTAAGCCCCCATAAACCTACGATCAAATTGTGCAAATGTACGTTGTACAACAGGTTGTTGTGCAAACAAGTCCCCCCATACACTACACACATTTTTTTTGCAAACTCCAGTTGCTTTTGTCTTGTTTTAATGATAACATGGTGTCTCGCAACGCAGCCTATTTAGCTATAATAATTTCTAGTGCGTTGGATGTTGGTGTTAAAAAAAGAAAAAGGAAGCAAAGATGGTTAAAGAAAAAGTCAGTTTCTAGCCAAGCAAATCTCCTCTTCAATTGAGTTCACCACTCGACTTATTATTTGCAAATGGACCACCCCATGACTTTTGGTGAATTACTAGAAATGGTAACACCAATATGTCGCTAGAGCCCATACACGATGCGACATTTGCACAGCACCTCAAATAACACCATACACTATACAATTGTTTGCACAACAGCCTCAGTTGTGCAATTTGTTCGCAGGTGTATGGGGGGCCTTTAGTTTTAACAACTTGGAAGGAATACAAGTAATTTGTATTTAAAAAAAAAATAATATACATAATATTTAAAACAATTACAGGGTGTTACTGTTGTGAAGCCTATCGTTTATGGGAATGTGGCAAGGTATTTTGGGGAGAAAAGAGAGGAGGATGGACACACCCATCAATGGACTGTTTATGTCAAGCCATATCACAATGAAGACATTTCAAGTATTTAGCGATTTCAATTTTTGTAAATAAATTGCTTTTATTTATTAATCAAATTGATTAGGTTATGTCAAAAAGGTTCATTTCAAACTTCACGAGAGCTATGCCAACCAGAATCGGGTGGTTTTGAAACCACCCTATGAAATTACTGAAACGGGCTGGGGGGAGTTTGAAATAGTCATCAAAATATACTTTCACGACTCGAACGAAAGACCGGTAATTTTAACAAATTAAAAATTGTGAAATAGCTTTGAATTCAACATAATTAAATTTTAAGGTTACCCTATACCACGTTTTGAAGTTGTTTCAATCGGAAAATGATGCCCTTCTGGGGAAGAATACATTAGTCGCTGAATCGTATGAAGAGATCGTTTTCCTCGACCCTACAGCATTTATGCATCACGTTTTGACGACAACTCACCCTATTACATCTGGAGTATGGAAGCACGAAACAGACTGTAAGGAAGATATGTCCATCTGGTAAGGAATAGATTTAAAACTATTTTTTTAAAATTTCTAGTTGAGCAAAAAAAGCAGAATTCCTTGGACAACATAATGGCTGGCAAGGCAAAAATACGGGAGAAAATACAAGAGTTAAAGGAAAAACTCAAGCTGGCAAAAGAGACCATTGCAAAGTTCAAATCTGAAATCGAACGTTCCAAATGTGAATTCACATGACCTGAGGAAAAGGGTAAAAAAAGACTGTAAATTCAACCACTGTGTACTTTTGTATAAAAGAGACTTTTTGTTATTATGTATATAAAGTGTGGTGCAGCATTAAAAAATGTAAGCTGATGTAATTAAGAATTTTATACCTTACAATGTAATAAAGTTTTATTTTATTATGCTGATCATTATTCTTAAATATAAAATATTTAGGTAAAATTTGTAAAATATTTAAATAATTTTATTTCTGATTTACTGGCCTAAAAAAATGTATATATTTATTTAAAATTGTTAATGATAGAAAAAACAAAAAATTGGGTTGATCCAATTTTGCAATCCAGCTCAGCAATCAAAGCTATGTATGAAAGTATGCAAATACATAAACTTGGCACCTTTAAAAGTAGAAAATTCGTACAAAAATTCTATTCAAGTTGAAGCTCTATGGAAAATAATCATCTAATTGCCTAAATTTAAATTAAAAAATGGTCTAACCACTTCTAAAAGTTATATAGTTTAAGGCATTATTTCTGATTAAGGGGTTTTATATGAAATAACAAAAAACCACTATTGTAGTTAAATTTTTATATATTTTTTGGTCATATATAAAATTGATTTACTTACAGTTTGGTACAAAAATAAATTACAAATATAACTATTATCACTTTTTGTTCTTTTGTGGGTTTTTAGGGAGACCGAAAAAGTAGTGCTAAATCGGGAACCAGAAGGCTGTTGGGCTTTCAGGTAAAATATCCTTAGAAAGTTCCTGAGGTCTGAAAGCGTGTCTTCTAGGTGCCGATTTGACCTTTGCATCCTTTTTAATTGCCAGCGGTTGCACCTGTGGCTGGGGTTTTTTCGGAGTACATGAATCACTCCTGGATGGAGTGCGCCTAGTCTTTTTGGCGATGGCTGACATAGGGGGTTGCCTTATTTCTGGAAGTTTAACTCTTGTCGTTGGGGGTTCCTGCTCTTTTTCAAAGACTTGGCCTGGCTTCTCCTTGATGGGACCCCTCACATAAACGGGCTCCAGCACGTCGTAGGTCTTCTCCCGCATAAGCACGGGTGGCCTTTTTATTGCTGGAAGTGGTGAGTATTTGGAAAATTTGTCCTTTGTCATCACACCATTACTGAACGACTCCCCTGCCTCCCTGTTTCTTATCTTCAACACGTGAAGTTTGTCCAGGTCGAGGCCAGAATTCACAACGTCTCTCCTCAATGTCTTATAATACTGGTCACCTCCAGCTTTTCTGTGTGTCGGCATCTGGGACCCACCCCACTCCACCCTCGCTGACCCACACTCCTGCCTGAAACAAACAAATTAAAATTTAATAATGTGTTTTCAACAACTGTTATAATTTAATATGTTTGTTTAACATATTGTTGTTGTCCCCTTGTTAAACAAAGGGATTGAGTACTGCCCCTGCATTGATAAGACTTTTATAAAATTTTAATTTCCAAAAAAGTACAACTATAATTAGATTCCAACTATTTAGGAAAAATGTAGTTTGGATAACACATTTAATGGATATTTTATGTAAGCTCTTCAAAACTGTTTATTTAATTATTAAATGTCAGTTATTGCAGGTGAACTTATTTATCTGGTATATTAAATATATTTAAAATACATTTCCATTTGTGTGTATGTTACTTTGAAGCTAGGACTTTTTTTATTAGATAAGGAGAATAATTTATGGCTCAATGAAACTTGTTTTTTTTTTTTTCAATTTTTTATGCTTGAACGTAAAATACTCTGGGAGTAATTTATACTGAGGAAATTTTTTTTGTCTGTTTTACATCTAATTAATATAATATTTAATATGTAATTTAATCTTTCCAGGTCAGTCCAAAGTATTTTTACAAGTTACATAAATTTTCAAGTCAGAATTTAGTGTCAATTTTCTTCCCTTTCAGAGTTTGTCAAGCCAATCGGCCGAGCTTTCCAGTCAGGTGATACCATACTGTTAAAAGTAAAATGTCGTAATAGTGTTGAATATAAGTGGCGCCTACTTACAGAGATTTCGACCTAAACAATTTGTCCTGAAAAGATCCTCTGAAAAATTTGTTCTCTCCGGCTAGCCAGTCCACACCGACATGTCCACATTTCAACATGACACCCTCGAACGACTAACAACAATGGAATGTTACTGAATGAGCTTGTCTTATTTTACAATTTGTCAACTAACTAAAGATAAATGGGTTGTAAAAATTTGGAGGCCGTTGTTGATTTTGCAACAATCAGGATTGAAAATGAAATGCTTACTTTTTATTTACGTTTTTTGTTGAAAATATGTCCTATTTACTTTCACAAAATACCATTTTTACAAATCTCAAAGTATGAACTTTAATTGGGGATGGACTATCTTTAAAAAAATATAATTTAATTATTCCTCTCTAATTAAAAAATAAATTTAAATATGGTATTTTATTCAACAGAAATGGTAAATATTTGACTACTTAATCAATAATCGAAGGTGTTTCTGTATTAAAAGTTTGATTACAATTGTACAAAGAATACCAGTGCAGCAGTTAAAGTATAGCATTTACAAGTTTATGTCTTTTCCAAGTCAAGTGTAACTTCTTACAAATCAAACGTAGCACTTTTAAGGTCACAAGCAATTATTTCCAAGACAAATTTAAACCTTTCCTAAGCAAGTCGTTACTACTAACAATTGTTACTCATTTTATTTCAATTGTTACCATTAGAAAAAAATTCAAAGATTTCACGTAATGTAGAAACATACAGTTGCTATAATTTTTGTAAAATAAGCTTAGAAGAAACTGTATTAAATTCAGTTTACATTTTTGTACTTTCTGAAAAAACGAAATAAACTTTTTTAAATTTTTTTCTTCATTTTTGTAAAAATGAATAATTATGTTTTATAAGAAAAACTTCATTTTTCAAAAATTAACTTTCATTAGCTTGATGTATATTTGTGCTAATAAAAGTTTTGAGGGGGAAAAATATATATATATATATAAACAAAAAATCGTGATAATTTCTACCAGTGAATTCTGAGGCCCATCACCTATTTATAAAGTGAACATTCAAAAAAGATTTCAATGGTAACAATTGAGATAAAATGGGTAACAATTGAGTTGTAAGGAGTTGCATATGCTTTGGAAAGGGGTTCAAGTCATATGGATAAGGCTGCTTGCAACTTTGAAAGGGTTAAATTTGATTTATAAAAGCTTACACTTGACATGGAAAGGGTTGCTTGCAACTTGGAAAGAGCTACATTTAATTTGAAAAAGCATACACTTGACTTGGAAAGGGCTACGTTTGATTTGAAAAAGCTTACTCTTGACAGTGAAAGGGTTTCTTGCAGCTTCGAAAGGGTTAAATTTATTTGAAAAAGCTTATACTTGACATGGAAAGGGATGCCTGCGTCTTGGAACCATGTTTTCTCTAGCAATTGATACCTCGTTAACACAAATTCATCAATACACGTCTATAAATTTATTTTTAAAAACATCGTTTCATGCATGCTACATAGAATAACAAAACGACGTAGCAACGAAGGGCAATATGAAATAGTTTATTATTCTACTTTTGTTCCGAGTGGGCGAAAGCCTTTTCAGGATTAATTGCGTATACATGTGTATTTTCCCCTTTGAATCACCGTCGTCGATTGCGGCTAATAGCAATAATTGGAGAATCTTCATTTTGTGGAACTGATTATACGATTTATCGATGAGCTGTGCCTTATTCAAAATCTAGCCGAGAAAAAAAAATTACAGCGAATTGTGCAACATATTTGATGTATATGTAGTAGTTAAAAATAATAGGACTATCGGGAATTGCGGCTTCATTCACAAGACCACGTGGGCGTTTTTCTTCCAGACTCATTAGGAAAAAGACAATCCCACTCGTCGGAAAAGTGTGTAAACGTATTTTGATCGAAGTATTAAACGTAGAGCCGTGTAGATGGAAGTAGGAACAGGTCATCCTACAGCTAGACCTGGTTGATCCACACGTTTAGCCCAACAGCCAATTAAGAAGAAACTGTGTCTTAATTAACATCTTATTTAATAAGATGGTAAAATTTAGAATCAGATGAACGGTTGTGCTTAATACGGATCATATCAGATAATTACAACAAAAGCCTTCATGCTTAAAACCAGCTGACAAATTGCATGAATTGAAATATAGTTTCTTCACGTTTAATCAGTTGAAACTAGAAAACCAAATCAGCAAATCACAATTTGGATTTCGCCACAGACTAGGAACCAGAGAAACAGTCCTAATACAGAGACGTAGGGAGGTCAACCATCCGGTATTTCTGTTTTATTAATTTCGAAAAAGCTTAAGATAAAGTGCAACATTAGTGGATGATAAAGGTATCCACATTATCGCAATCCTTTACTGGAACCAAAAAGCAAATGTTAGGAGAGAAGGAAGACCTTCTTGCTCCTTAATCCCTCACACAGGCCAGCAATGACTGGTTTCTCATGGCGTGTGTCCTCCGGGTTCAGCGCTGGCATTAGTGTTAGTGTTGTGACCGTGTGAAAAAACGTGTTGTAACCACATTTGTAATACGTACGAATGTGTACAAGGTACAAATGAAATAATTTAAAAAAGAGAGAAGGCTACACATCGGGTGACATCAACATAATGGTGGGAGACAGGGGTGCATCCACTACTGAGGGTGTAAAAGTGACAGTACTCTAATAAATAATACCCGATATGCGGACGATGATGCTTTAATCGCAAACAGCCAAGAAGAATTACAAAACCTACTTGATACTTTTTTTTCTCGATGGTAATTTATTTAACTAAGAGGTTATATAAATCTCGTGAAGCTGGTGTCCTTTACAGTGATGCCTTGTCAACGACTTAACCGTTGCGGCCACCGTCACCCCTAAAAGTCTTCACGACTAAATTTATGGTTATCAATAAGACATCTATCACGGACGTAGATGCTGATGAACTGGTATCACCTTAGAGAGGGTCCAAAAGATGAAAGTCGTCAGTTGAACGACCTATGGGACCATTAAAGAAATAAAAGCAGAGGTAGAAAAGGCATGGACGGCATTTATTAAAATGAAATGGGTACTGTGCGGTCACGAACTTGATCTGGGATTAAGGATAAGGTTATGCTACGTCTTTTCCAATGGTGCCGAAGCTTGGACACTAAAACAAGCTTGAGATATTCAAGATGTGGACCTATAGAAGGATGCTAAAATTAAGCTGGACAGAACACATCACAAACGCGGAGGTACATAGAAGAATAAACAAAACAACAAAAATTAACACAACAGAAAAAAACTTGGGTATCATGCTCTACCCCACCCGGAAAAATATGAACTGCTTAAGATTATTCTAGAAGGAAAAATCGAAGTGAGACGCGGTCCTGGTAGGAGAAGAATTTCGTGGCTGAAAAACCTGCGGCAATGGTTCAGCCAATGCTCCGGATTCCTTTTTAAAGCGAATAGGTATACACAAAGAAGAAGAATCAGTTGAATTGTACAAATAAATTATATTTCGTGGTGACGTACTGTATCAAGTTAATTATAACTTTAGAATCAGATGACATACTGTATGAAATAAATTGTAAATTGAATTGATTGAATAAAAAAAAATATTTTGCATTGTATAAATTCACGTTTTTCCACATCCTACATGTATTTGTTAAATGTAAACAATGTTTGTAAATCCCAGGCCCTGAAGATGATTTCAATAAAGAACGAAACGTTGGCACGATAAAGAAAATGTTTTTCTGAAACCTACATCTCACCAGACCGCATCTCACGATTTCTGATTAATTATCGATTAACGGTCAGTAATCACCATACACATGTAAAATTCATACTTATAATTAAATGTCAACAGTGCGAAAAAATTGCCTTTCTAGTTAGAATCAGATGGCGAACTATACGAAGTAAATTATATAAAACGTACAGACTTGAGAGACTGTAAACTAATTATGTTTAGTTATAATTAAGCTATAATTTATAATTAAGTTGGAGAGAATGAAGTTGACCTCCTTCCGTTCAACTGTAAACTAGTTTTAAGATTAAAAGTAATCGGCCTTTTTACGACCTTGCGCACCGCAACCAATCTCCACCATTGCCTCGAGTTTTTCATTAAGATTTTTTACCAGATCCTAAAATTTTGTACAGGACTCCCATGTGTATCCTTCAGGCCTTGACTTTTCCACACCCAGGAGTAGGAATTTCAGTCTTCATAGGCCTTCGTACAAACGAAGGATGTGTTCCTTTGTTTCTCCGCACAAGCTTGTTTCTGCTGGTCGGGGTTTATACATATGCCTCAGTTTTTCGCATGTCTTTGTCTTAGTTTACTGTCCCATTAAACCGAGGACTTATTCTTATAAGTTAAGGAACAGAGAATATAAACTAACCGAACAAATTTTAAATGGCCTTTATAGTCAGACGATAAACCGTACGATTAAGCATCGGTAAACGTCTCACGTGAAATTATCATACCAGCCTGAACGAAAAGACAATACGAACTTCTCTTTCGACTTTTAGACCTCAATAATAAAAGATTAACCGACATGAACCTTCTGGTATGCAAAGAGCTTAGCCAAAGCCCTGCCTAAGTTGAAAGTAAATTTTTATATGTCCAATCTCATCCTTCCTCAACACACAATTCCTGCATCAATAAATACTCCCAAAATAAAAATTTACACTCCTCCCTTCATTATCATCCTAATCCCTTAGTAACTCAGCGCCAGACTTTCTGATAGACCACAAACCGACTGAAATGGCCTTGTGATTTCATCCTCAGTGATAACGAGTGACAAGTTTTTACGATTGTATCAAAAAGTTAGAATTAACAGAATCAATTGAAACACTGCATGAAAAATATTAAGTCTTTCCAAAGGTGAATATCTAATCTAGAAAAATGTTAATCTCTCCGGCCAATTTAAATTTGGCAGTACAAAAAATTTTTGGGTTGTGAAATGATAAAACAAGGCCAAACTTTCAACTCAGCATTATAATTACATAGATGTTTTTTGTAATGAAAGACATGCTACTACATGAAACGTTTCCATTTTTAGGAGAGAATCGTTGCGCAAAATGAGACATTGTAGGCGTATTTAAAACAAGAATTTACAAGAAAAAACCCAGTTTGTTCTTTTTTCGTATACGTCATGCCAAAA